AACGGTGAATCGTTTACGTTGGTAATTACGTTGATGATCTGTGGTAGTACCAATCAAAATGTATCAAATAGGTATTACATTTATGTAACTTACAAAAATTACGGTTTTTTTAAATTAAAAACGTAAGTTAAGTTTCATAAAAGACATAAATTACATAAAAAAACCGGCCTCTTGTAAGTTACGCGTAATATAACCGTTTTTTATGTAACTTACAAATCGTTATTTTACAATCCACATCACTAGTACCTATATAAGAAAGTGGGTAAGTATACAGGGTGGGTGGCGTGGGTGAAAGATTGTGGGTTTATTAACGCACATACTTAAAATTCATTTTCGGGACATGTTGAAGGACTCAACTAAAAATATTTTCAACGGACAGGGTGATTTATATCAAAGTTGGTTTTTTAAAATATAACTCCCCCTATATTACTGTATATTTCGATTCCTTAGTCAATATTAGTAGATGTCCAGTAAAAATTGAATATCGCAGATTAAATCACCCCGTATAACAATTGCAATGCTTTAGCGCAATGCCAAGCATACCCAGGAACTCGTTTGCTATATTTGTTTACACATTTTTTTTATTTGAAGAAATTGTTTCTTCCCTTCCACCGAATGTTACAGCCTTTTATTTTGCGCTTGATATGCATGGGCAATTAATGCAAATGGTTTTCGGAAACTTGTATATAAAATGATCGGAGAGTCACAAAGACTCCTGAACAGAGCTATTACACTGCGTATAAGAGAGCTTTACAAAAGACGCTGATTGACAAAAGAATTATGAGGCATATTAACAGTAAAGTAGAGTAGGAAAGTAAATTCAAAATATACTTTTTCTATTTCGGTGTCACAATGATGATTTTGTACAACAGTTGTACCGGGTGATTCATTAGAAGTGATGAACGCTTGAATTTCGCGCGTAAGGTTTTAGTATTTTTGACATTATTAGATTGACGGTTTGAAATTTGTTAGTAATTTTTATCTGTCATGACTGTCATTTAAGAAACCAGTGTCGCCATTAATTGTTGTGTGCCATTTGCGGTTTATTACTTTTTCCATTTTGAACAATTTTTAGAGTTGATGCACTAAAATATGTAAGAAACGTGACTGTGTCTAGTGTTTAGTTTATAATTTGTGGTAAAACAGAAGCAGTATTTGTAGATTATAAATAAGTAAACGATTTACTGAAAGCATGATGATACACCACTGCAATTAAATAAATGATCATCAATTTGTACCAACTTCATAATTTTTTTGATTTGCGGGAAATTCAAATTGTCCTCACTTCTAATGAATCACCCGGTACAAAGACAGTGATTATAGTCGTTTTTTGTTGGTAACTCATCTCAAGTTGGCAGTTACTAGTTAGTACAAGTAGGTACTTCGTTGGGTACTTCCATGTTTGAACTTCAAAATGTCAGTCTTACTACGCTGCCAACCTAAAACTTAACGGTATAAAAAGTGTTCCCAACATAAAACATGTTAGTTCTAATGTTCCCTATAGTTTCGGATAATGATTTTTTAAATTAAATTTAAGCACGGAAATAAAAAAAATAGTATGAAAAACGCGTGTTACAATGCTTTATTGTAATACTCCTATCTTGCGGGCACTCGTGGCTACGCTTCGCGTCGCCACTCGTGCCACAAGATAGTCGTATTACAATAGGTCGCATTGTAACACTTGTCTTTCAATATACTATTTTCTATAAAATCCAGGTAAACGAATAATCAGACAACGTGATCCGGAACTGGACGTGTCACCCCTTGATTATCCATAAATCAATTTTATATGCAAAAAATAAAGTTTGCTTGGTTGTGAATACTAAATAAAATTCCGCCGGAATAAGGTGCGGAAATATCCGCGGTATAGAACAAAAGAAAAGAAATCGTACAATGGAAATGAACCTCAACGAAATCTAAGGATTCACTTGATTTGATAGCTTTAATTATTTTCGAAGTAAAAAATTAAAACCCATTGAGAACCTCGCAAACAATCCTTTTAGACCGATTCATTCTCCTTTGCAAATTGTAACCAACGAAGTTCCCGGCGTTATTATGCTCGAGCAAGAGAATTACAATGAGCGCCACTTGAGGAGCAGCGAATTGACGGTAATAATTAAAATATGCCACGTATTTTGAATCGATTTTCATAATATTTCAGAACGCAGCAAGATAAGGGAGCTGAAAAATGATTTCGCGTTGAAATTTGAAGCGGAAGAATCTTGAAAATGTTAATTAATATTTCAAGTATACTTTCTTGCGTGCCTTTATAATGAATGCGGTTTTGAAAAATTCTTAATCGTTTAATTTCTGAAGTGTCTAATTTGATGAGCAGTGCAACGGTGTACCTCCTACTAAATTCCCTTTCAAATGTGTTAAACGCAAACTCACTTTTCGTCTTCATTTCCGTTTGGAAACAACCGCAACAGCACAAAATTGCTACAATATTTGTCTTATCCATTGTTTATCCGCTTTTTGTAGGTTGAAAAAAGATCAATACTTTTTGAAGTGATGTCATGATCAGATTTTCATTCCTATATAATACAAAGATTGAGCCATTTGAAATATATTTTCAATTTTCCATCTCCAGTTGAAATACTATCTCCGAAAGATTAAAGTGCCTTGGAACCATCTAACAAGAAATATTGTAAATTCGTCGTATAGTCTTTTGTTTAAATTGGCTATTGATTAAGTTGTGGTCTTTTTGATATACAATTTTTTTTCTTTTCATAACTTTATATTTTAAATCGCCTTTATTTACGAACCTTTGAAGTAAGTACTCGTAACTGTCGAAAACAATAACTTGAAGACCCTAAAAATTATCAAAGTCCTCGTGTGAGATCGAAGGGACTTAAGCGCATTTTTGTCTGGTAGATCAGTGATTTATTAGCCAGTATTGACTCCACCATCAATAAGATCTTGTCGAAAGCTACCACATTCCCTTCGTAGGTACCCGCTTCCCACTTCCCGTGCACCCGCAATTCGCTTTTGAAGTTGTGACTCCGCCATCAGTAAAATCTTGTCGGGAGGTACCATATTCCCTCTGTCGGTACCCACTTCCGACGTCCCGTTCACTCGCAATTCGCATTTTGGTGGATTTCGCTAAAAACCCGGTACAAAATAGTAGGTACTCAATTTTTGGGTACTTCTCATAGCTCGATCTTTCTATTGACAACACGAGAAAGAGAGACAGCGATTCGAGCTCTAAAAAACTTTCGGGCGCCCAAAGTCGACTAGCCTTCGAAGCGCGCCGTGCAAAAGGTGGTTTATTTCGCCCCTAGGAAAAAAACAAAATTCCGCCACGCAGAAGTTGTGCGCGTTGACAAGAATCATCCCGACGACACCTATTTGAAAGCAATCGGAGACAAACTGTAGAAGAAGATAGAAAAAAACTGAAAAATCTAAAGGTTACACGCTCGGAGATGGCGCCCAGATGTCGCCGTCCCGAAAGTTGTTAATTACACGGCCCCGATAGGTACATGTACACTCCTCGTCTTTTTACAGCGTTCTTCTACGGGCTCGCATGTACTGCCAGCCACCCAGCCAAAGTGAGATTAAAAGCTACCTTTTTACAAATATATTTGCAAAAATGCGCTAATAATTATATCTAAAAGACATCAATTTCTTGTTATTTATTGACTTTTCCGCTGTACTTATTTAGACCGGAAATTCAAACAAATTATGACTAATGCAATGACAACGCCAAAAAAAACACTCATTGCATAATTTGATTAATGAATATTTATTGAACTTAAACAACATATGGACTTACTTTGTGACGAGTTATTATTTCCCGGTCACCAAATCTGGATACCCAGGAGTTGGTGAGTGTGAGGCCGGATGTGGGGGGGATATAACCACTTTTTTTTATTGACTGAAATCCGTAAGTTTCGATCTACTTACGAGCGAACGTATAAATGGCAGTACTCGGCACCGATTGGCCACAGAATTCCGAACTGGTATTAGGGCCGAAATATCCTGCATTTTACACAACCAAAATTTGAAGGCTTATTTTTGACTATACTGACAGTTGCAGTGAAATGTTCTGTGGTACACAAACCAAAATCGAGGCTCTTTTCTGGCCTCCTGTCAACTGTAGTTAATCTTCACAACTGCTCTAATGCAGTTCAAAATTAATTAAAAGAACTCTATGTATAATGAAATATTAAAATTAAAAATAAAGTTAATTACAAGAGAAGCAGTAAAAGGAGATAACTAATCCTCCTCCAGCTCAATTTAATATCAATTACGTTATCAGTTCGCATGTTTTGGCAACTTAAATTAAATGACCAAACGAATAATTCCGACGGCTTCATTTTTAATTAATCTCAATAAGTGCAACGCAACATTGCCATATCGTCGAGATTAATTGTGGCTGTCCCTGAACCACGCCCCATCGCCATAGGTCGCATTTCAGATCACACACAAAGGTATATAAGATTATAGCTACTTCTCTAATTCAATTAATTAATCTTAATTGAAAAGAATTACCTTGTAGTGACGTATTCCGATAGTGCACTGAATATAACTACCAAATGCTTCTGAACTGCACATTTCTTACATCTTTTCCCTATCAACAGCCTTTCCTTTCGAGCCCATATTAAGCGCTCTTACGTAAGTTTTTATTTCTGTTAATGTTTTTGTTACACAACCAAATTCTGTACATAAACTCTGTAACAGTTTTAAAACAATGCCAACATGTTGTCTATATTTCACTTTTATTCACTCTGTGTATAACTTTTTGCGCCGCGCTGAATGCAACCCATCTAGTAACTTTATGCATTTGCGTTGGTGTTATTTTCATATCTATCTATGTTCGTATTGGTGATAATTCATTTCCGTTTTCGATAAGCGTTTTGGAGATTTCCTTATATGGTATTGTAAAGGCCGTTCTGTGATTTAATTGGTTGGAGATAAATTTCTTCGTTGCACTAGCCGGAAATTCGGAAAGAAAGTGGGGTCTTCTCGCTAGAACTTGCAGGAGGAACGTGTGTGTTTGACTGGGATTCGGTGTGTGTTTTACCATCTTCATGTTCCGTTGGTGAATTAACCATTTGCGAAAGCATTTTTACTTGCCAACGAACTTAAATGTTGTGTCGTTAAGGAATCTAAATCGACAGCAACTTTCCGAAATGGAATTTTAATCTTGAAGCCGAAACACTCATCGATACCGATCCGATCCACGATATAACGCCTTTTACATTACTTGCTGTTTGACGAAGTTTTTTTTGTTTACTCTCTACTTAGAGGTTCGTTCGTCTATATTTAAGTGAGAACCAGTCGTAATTAGGTTATATTTTTAGAGTCCTTGTATTGGATAGGAGTCCTTGTACGAGATAAAATCCTTGTACCGATCTACGTACCGAATGGTGTTATTGAGGATGGATTGAACTTGGGAAGTTAGGCGACAGAATATTGCAGAGCAGTGCCGTAAAATCTAGCATTGCAACGTTACGATCTTGCGGGCTAAGCCGAACTCTTCTAATAACCGACACCTTTTATTGCACTACGTAGAAGACTTACACCAGGACCCAGAGGAGCCATTCAGACGTAAATATTTGATCCTGTGGTGATGTAAATGTTATAAATTTATCTGTTTGTATTGAATTGGACCCACATTGTGGTAATTGGCATATGCACTCAAGCCAATTGTAATACTGTTAATTAGTCAGCTTGGAATATTGGGATACGATAATTGATAATCACTTAAGTATTACTCCCATGTACGAAGTAATAACCAGTATGTAACGTACGAGCTCGTAACGACTTGAACCACTTCATTGCCCCCAAGCTACCGATTAAGGGATTGAAATCACTTTATCTAATTCATCACTTGTGCCACGGTAACAATATTTGTGTTCTGACCCCAGAGATTCTGGTGGGTTTTATTCCGTATTTCATGGGGGAAATTTTTTTTTTGTAAATGTTTTATGTTTGAATTAATTTGGAGTATTTATTGTTTAAAGCCTCATAGTTGGACCTAAGTTTTTGGGATTCCCATTGGGGAACCGAAGTTTTGGTTGTGCTTTTATGAAGGTGCAGAGCACCCCAATAAATAATTATTTTTGTGGGATTATAGTTACATATTTTTCAAGCTAAGCTACCTTTCCTAGTTCGGGTAGTGATAAGCGAAATTGGACGAATTAGGTGGCGCCCAAAAGACTCTACCAGAACCACTAACCGTAAGTAGAGAAGATTGAGTTGAAATCGAGGATAGCTACGGAGCTATTACCAATTGTATTGAATTCTTTTACCTACGTCCCTGTATTGTCTTGCTCTCTCCGCTGTTTACCCTTTTGTCAACAGAGCTAGCTGGCCGGTCAGCGGCGTGTGTTTTTATTTAAAAAGCACATGGTATTTTTTTGTAGCGCCTTGCCTTTTGCAGCTCGCGCGTTATATAAAATTGGCGCCTCAACTATAGTGGCCTTGTTTTTTTTGTTGAATTAATTTCGTGTAACAATATAAAGGTGGAGAATTATAAACAATTGGCAATCGCTTTAAATAAAGTTTCAATCACTTTTAATTGGTACAATTTTTACTCAACTTTTGGAATTTAATCTCGATCCAACGAAATCTGAACCTACTGTACTTGTTTTATTATATTGTGTATTGGTATTAGGTATTATTACCTTATCATTATTATTGTGTTTGAATTTATAAATAACGATTATGGCAATGGACATTAATCGTTTGCGAGACACTGAACTGCAATATGAAGTCGAAATCAGGGGTGGTCAAGTAGGGGCTACTGTCACTGAAAGTAGGAACATCCTTAGAAAACTTTTAGAGTTAGAGAAAACACCTGGTTATGTCCCTCCGACATATCCTTTCACTTTTGCGGACGATTTGGCTGCTCTTACCGAATTATCGGTTGTGCTCCAAAACCGTATCGACTCTTTCGAAGATGCTTATGGGGGTGGTTCTTATCTCTCAATTGTAACTCTGTTTGCACATGCTGACCGACGCCTACACCGGACTCGAACATTACTTACTCTTACTCCTGAACAAACCCTTAAGATTTCGGAATTAGTTACTGTTTTTCGTCAACTTAGGGCATCATTAGATAATAAAGCCTTCCGCTTCAACGATAGTATGTTATTACCATCTGCCGCACCTATTACCACATCAACACCTACGAGAACTACTGCAGAGGTGCAACCTAAATTATCTGTTCATAGCACTCCTGTGCATAAATGGGGGATTAAATTTTCGGGAGATACTAAAGGGGAAACTTTGAACTCATTCCTAGATAGGGTGGAACGTATGGCTCGCGCGCGAGGGGTGGATACTGTAACACTTTTCGAAACCGCATACGATTTATTTGATGGAAACGCCAGTATTTGGTATAACGTCAACTCTCACCGAGCGACGTCATGGGAACACCTGACTCAGTTATTGAGGGACGCTTTCTTACCCCCTCACTATCAAGAGGATTTACTGGATGAAATTAAGGCAAGAATCCAGGGACCTACCGAGAAAGTCGACATTTATTTTGCCATAATGCAGGGACTTTTTGCTAGATTACAAAAACCACCCACCGACCGCGAACAAACGCGAATTATTCGTAGAAATCTTTTGCCTTTTTATATTACAAAACTTGGACCAAATGTACCGGACACTTTGGACGGACTTTTGGCGGAATGCCATCGTTTTGACGCTATTAAACAAGATTTAGCTCGACACGACGCTTTACGTACTCAGACTCGTTTACCATTATTGGAGCCAGGATTTAGCTGCCCCAATCAACGACCTACCACCTCACGTTTTCCTATTCATTCGATGGAAACGCGTGAGTCACCCTGTTTTAATTGTCAGCGCATAGGCCATAACCGTGTGGATTGCCCCGAACCTAGACAATTGTTCTGCTATAAATGTGGAGCCACTGGGGTTACTATTCGTTCCTATACCTTCTGTTCGGGAAACGGACCACGAAACGCTCGTTAGGTTGTCGCGAGGTTTCGGAGGTTCCGGCAACCAAAATATTCAAATCTTCTTCAAAACCGAAATTAGATTTTTTGGTTCAACATGTGAATAACGATTTAAGACCTTACGTAAAACTCACCCTATTAAACCTTCCTTTAATAGGATTGTTGGATTCTGGCGCTTCGCGCTCATTTATCAATGAAGACCTTTGCTTTAAATTACAACAACTTAATTTGAAATTCGTAAACCAACTTACTTCCTGTACTGTTGCTAATAGTGTTGATGCACAGTCTATAGGTTACATCATAGCTCCATTAACTTTAAAAGATAGGACCATAATCTTAAATTTGCTAGTTATGCCTACTTTAACTACCGACTTGATCCTTGGAATTGATTTCTGGGATAGGATGGGAATTATTCCTAATGTTTCTGATGATTGTTGGCATTTTGTTTCCACAATCCCAACAACTAGACCGAGTGTAGCCATTATTGACCAACCACATCTCACGGCTGAACAACAAAACTCTTTAACTACCCTCCTTAATCAGAACTTCGAAGCCATGGGGACCCAGTTAGGTATCACTACCGTGGGGAAACATGAGATACGCCTTGTTGAAGGTGCAACACCTCTCAAACAACGATACTACCCAGTTAACCCTATTAAACAAAAGATCATCAACACCTGCATCGATGAGATGTTAAAAGACCACGTCATTGAACCATCTAATAGTCCGTGGGCTTCACCTGTATGTTTAATCCCGAAGAAAGATAATACCTATCGCTTCTGCGTGCATTATAGGAAGCTTAATTCTTTAACGGTAAAAGATTCTTTTCCTCTTCCTTATATTTCTACCATTCTCGACCAACTTCGAGATGCTCGATACCTTAGTTCGCTTGACATCAAGGCGGCCTATTGGCAAGTCGAAGTGGACGAATCTTCCCGACCTTATACAGCCTTCACTGTGCCTGGACGAGGACTTTTTCAGTTTCGTCGCATGCCGTTTGGTCTGACTAACGCACCAGCAACTTTCCAACGCATAATCGACACTGTGTTAGGACCCGAACTTCAGCCTAATGTCCTAGTATATCTGGACGATGTTATCATCGTTTCCCAGGACTTCGATTCGCATCTGCGAATTTTGCAAACCGTCTTCGATAAACTTCGTGCTGCAGGGTTCATCCTTAACAAGGACAAATGTCATTTTTGCCGTTCTGAGCTGAAATACCTAGGGTATGTGGTCGACGCTCATGGATTGCACCCCGATCCGGACAAAGTGAAAGCCATTCTTAATATTACCTCTCCTATTAATCTTCAGGAAGTTAGACGCTTCTTAGGTACCTGTAGTTGGTACAGAAGATTTATACCAGAATTCTCAACTATTGTATCACCTTTAACCCGACTTCTTAAGAAGGATGTCAAGTTTGATTGGACTTCCGAGTGTGAAGAAGCCTTTGTGCAATTAAAACAACTATTAGCTACTGCACCCATACTTCACTGTCCAGACTTCACCAAACCTTTCATTTTACAAACCGACGCTTCAGCCTATGGTCTGGGCGCCGTTTTAACTCAAACTTTTCCCGATGGAGAACGAGTGATCTGTTATTTGTCTCGATCCTTGTCCCATGCGGAATGTAATTATAGCACCACTGAACGCGAGTGTTTAGCTGTCATTTGGGGAGTGGAGCAACTCCGACACTATCTAGAAGGAGTTTCATTTACCGTAATCACCGACCATCATTCTCTCTTATGGCTTCATTCTCTTAAAGATCCCCAAGGACGTTTAGCACGATGGGCACTTCGTCTTCAACCGTACACGTTTACCCTTATACATCGTAAAGGGAAAGACAATGTGGTACCTAATCTTTTATCACGTACCGTACCACTAGTCAATGCTATTACCCCTTCGGACGAAACTGTCAATCCCGTGGTATGTTTGATCGATTGGAACTACATCCCCAGAAATACCCTGAATGGAATATGAGGAATGGGTTACTGTACAAGTACATTCAAACTGCTTCAGACGCTCGAGACTATGAAAAATGGAAACTCGTTGTTCCCAATAATTTTCGTCGTGCCATTATACGAGAATGCCACAACAATGTTACATCTGGACACTTCGGAGTGTATAAAACTTTCTGGCGTATTCATCAACATTACTATTGGCCCAGAATGCTCCTGGACACCAAACGTTTTATTAAACGCTGTTCCACTTGTGCGGAACAGAAACCCGAACAACTACGACCCGCTGGTCTTATGGGATCTCACCCTAGAATTTACGAGCCTTGGCAAATGATCAGTTTAGATTTCATTGGTCCCTTACCACGTTCTACGCAAGGACGCACTCATCTTTTAGTTGTCTCTGATTATTTAAGCAAGTTTGTACTTCTTTTCCCCGTAAGGACTGCAAATGCCCAAACTTTGGTGAAGTGTATTGAAGAATCTGTGTTTCTTGTATATGGAGTACCTCAACATATTATTTGCGACAACGGTGTGCAAATGCGCAGCCGTCTTTTTATGAATCTTTGTGACCGCTACCGTGTTAAAATTCGTTTTACACCCTTTTATCACCCTCAAGCCGACCCTGTGGAACGTGTGAACCGGGTGGTAAAGCAACTAATTTCAACTTACATTAAAAATAATCATCGACATTGGGATGTCAATTTAGCTTCTATTGCCTGTGCCCTTAGAACCTCTAAACACGAAACCATTGGTGTTACTCCCTACCGAGCTAATTTTGGGAAAGAATTTCGTATTCGAGGGGACAGCTTCGACACTGACTTGACTGAACAAGAACCAATTGATGTTGAACAACGACTAGCCCAACAACAACAACTATACACAAAAATAGTCGAACGGATTAGGAATATGCATGACCGAAACAAGAGAACCTATGACTTACGACGAAGGCATGTGACTTATGAGATTGGAGATCAGGTCTGGCGTAAAAACAAGTCTATCTCAGACGCCACTAAGGACTATTCTGCCAAATTAGCACCTCGATTTTTAGGCCCATTTATGATCGATCGTAAAGTGGGTTATCTCACTTACGCTTTGAGGGATGCTGATAGAAAACCCGCAGGCCTGTGGCATGTCCAAGATCTTAAGCCCTATGTTGAGCCGGAAGATCATGGTTAGGTTTAGTATTTTTA